ATCAATTTTCCTTCCTCCTTGCAGCGCGCCAGACACACCCTTAATTAATAAAAAAAAATTACATCTTTATTAATAACAAATTAATTATTAAACAAACGTGTTAAATATAAACTAAGTAAACGTGCATTGCACGTTGAGTTGAATGTAATAAACTTCTTACTTTGTTTTTACCAATGAGTTCAAGTTACATAACAAATAAATATTCTTGATTTTAAAAGTAATCTACTTGATAGAAAGTCTCTCTTCTTGGCGAAGATGAGAGATAATGAGTCATTTAATTTATGTCATTTTATTATCTTTTGTTTATTCTTGTATTAAGGCGTCTTTTGGTATTATTTAGGAGTCTATTGTCGACTTTTATATCTCGTAAGCATATGGAGTATAACAAGTAATATAGTGCCCGCGCGTCTCCTGACTGTAATGGTTGGGCTTGGCGCTGCGCGCCGCGTCGGTCGGTCCAAGAAACGGCGGCAGCGGCGCTAGGAGTTAACGACCGGATGTGATCTAATTTTTTTTAACTAAACTAAATTATCAAACTATTAATTAAAATAAAAAAACTCAAATAAAACTGTAGATAAGATTATGTGATTAGATAGTTAGGATTTTCAATTTCACTTAGGTTATTTATCATACATTTAATTCTAATTCATTTAACCATCTTTCTTACGTGCTAACAATGATGTAGTTCGTGATCTCTCTCAAGCAATACTAATCATATTCATATGCCCGAACTTCTTATATCTCTATATAAACTCACACACATATGAATGCATTTATCTATAGGAATTCAACAAAGATCACATAATTTATAATTATGTCTCGATCTCTTATAATATCTATGTTAATTATTGCACGAGCCAGAATTATACATCACCTCTTGGTCTCACTATCATCCATAAATCAATTAATTGTTGCGCAAACAAATAATTGGATTAAACGCACAATAATTAATTAACAAGTATTAAAATGGTATGAAAATCTTGAAATTAAACATATAATAAAAACCTTAAGTCAAATCACCCATCCTAACATAAAATATTTATCCACTCATAACGTTAAATTTAAACATCCAAAAGTGAAAAGACATCAACAAAATTGACGCGAATAATATCCAAATTACGTGTTGCCGGCCAATTTCCACCACTTTATGTGCGTCCAAATCAGCTGTCCAATGTGTATATATATTTCAATTTCATGCCCCCGTCTTTCTTCCCAAAAACAAGTCGGTGTTTGCATGAAAAATATATAATTTCTTTTGCCCTTTTTCTTCCAACCCGTCGGCCACTAACCTATGAGTATATATATCTTGTTTTCCACGAAAGCAGCCACCACAATTGTGTATATCTCTAATATATATTCCAATATCAACTTCCTTTTTCAATGCATGAATGTGTGTATTTATAAATCAAAAGTGCCTGCCTCCAATTCTTCCCTAGAAGCCGCCTCTGTTATTATTATTATTTTTTTTTTGTGTGCGCGCATACATTTTCCAAAACTGTCGGCCTCTTGCCGGGCGTCCTCCCCATAATTTGTGCCGTTGTATCATATATATTGCAGCCAATAAAAGCCCACGTTGAAGCCCATTATTGTGGTGTTTGTTTCCAAGTCATCATTCTTTCTAAATAATGCACTCTAGTACGTTGGATTTCTATTTATTTGTGCAATATAAATCAATTTAGTCCTCGTACTTTGAATTTTGTCATTTTTCCGCTATTTTGCATTCTTTTTTCAATTCTTCATTAAACATAAAGTTTATCTACAAAATACAATTTAACATAAATTAGGTAGAATTTAATTCAAAAAATAATAAAATATCATGATTTAGCTTGTCACAAATAAATATAAAAATCACACTTATCAGTAATGTTCGGTTAAATTTTTCTAAAGTATTCAGTTTACCCTACTCGAGTTCTCATTGAGTCTATTTAACTAATTCAATTACAGATTTCTATGTGAATTGATCGTAGTTAAATAAAGTATAAAGTTTTAAGAATTCATCTAATAACCGCAATAATTAGTATATATATCTCTACACGTTATATTAAATTATCGAATTTTAGTATGTAGTCTAAATTTTAAGACTCGCCTCTAGATTCATAACCGTAATAAATTCACAAAATCATTGAATAATTGATCATAGAATTCAAAGCATTAAATTCATGAATAAAATCAATACATGCATTTAAAGAACTATAATCTTGAATAAAAGAAATAAAAAGTCAAGCATAGATTTCATAATAATGAAAAAAAAGAAAGTATAGAGTTCATAATCTAATTTTGAATTCTTGATCATGGAAAGAATTGAATTTTATACCAAGAATCTTCTTCAACCTCAAAAGTTTTCAAACTCTAGTTTTTGCTCTTTAATCTTGATGATTATTTGTTTCTCTCTTCCCCAAATTGTGTAGAACTCTCTCAAAAGTATCAAAAACTTATATTTATACTCTCCCCATGTTTGTGTCCATTATAAAGATTTTATGGGCTTCAAAACAGGCCAAAAATCCTACATATAGCCAGGTGGCGCCTTGGGACCATGGCGCTGCGAAGACACCTTTCGGATAAAAATCTGCACTACAATTCGTTAATATTTTTATCATAACTTTATCTCCCGATATCCGATTGAGTCGACTAAAATTGAGTTGTAAAGATAATCCAAAGGGATACAACTTTACCAGAGATAGCTATTTTCCAATTCAAAAGTTTATTAGGCTAAAAATAGGTTTCAATCTCCCGCTGAAAATTTGAAACATCTTTGTAAAATTTAAAATTGATTTGTGAAAATATTTTGGTCATATTTCACTCATTTTGACTTCTAATTACATTAATTGACTTCTAACATTCTCGAATCTTCATCGTGAGTTTCGGCACAACCTTTGATTATTTACACTTTAATCCCCCTAAACTTTGGATCTTGTCCATTTTTTCGCCAATTTTTACTTATTTCTTTCAATTTCACTTCTTTTGATTGAATTTCATCTAATAAACAAAATATAAAATAAATTATGCTATAATTGTTTGAAAGAACTATTAAATGTCTATATTTTTAGGTCCAAGTAAGTGTATAAAATACACTTATCAGAGTCTATGGACTAGAGGGCAATTTCAATTAAATTAATATTAGGTTTTGTTACCTTTAATACCATGTGCTTGCAGTGGAGTTTTTCTTGGCTTTGTTTAATGAAATTGATATATTGTGAGAATTTTCTCCAATTTTGATTCAAATGATATTCATGCGAGAATTAACATTTTATTGATCAAGCGTTATTGTTCTAGTTCGTTTCTATTTGTGTCCCCTCTACTATGAACTAGGCATTTTAGATGCGTCTGATTTTTTAATTTATTAGGCCATTATCTTTTGTATTATATGTGGCTTCTTCCTTGAGCCTTTTCATGATAAACTAGATGAGATATAAAAAGCATTGCCCTTCTTCACTCACATAATATTGTTGATTGGGCATTTGCCCATCTATACCTTAGATTCCCCCTACCCGTCCTCTTATTTTCAGTGTGGCTGATGACCCGAAAAAGACTAATCTTTTGAATATCAATATTGAATTCAAAAGTTCCTCCTAATTGTAAAGAAAGGACATAGTTTCTTACGAAAATGGACATTGTTTCGGATAACTACATATAGAAATCACATGTATTCTATATTTCAATCCAGCAGATAAATTGTTGCTGCACGCTTCACTGTTATAAAAGATTTGCGTGGCTTTCAAATCTCTGTTGCCCAGTGTTTCACTCCTTTAAACTTTAGGTTTTTTGATCAATCTTTATTATATTTTAAGAGGCTTCTAAAGGATTTAAACAAGCTTCACCTATATATATTCTCATAATTTGCAGTATGTATATAAATTGTTGAAGAAGTCAATATATAAAAACTAGTATTAACAAAAACTCATCAGAAAATCTAGGTATGCAGTATGCATCAATTCCATCATCCAAGAAAAGAAACCTATATCGAAAATGAGAAGGAAAAAGAAAAAAAAATGAAAGCAAAGGATGATAATTAAAGGGAGTTTATATCCGTTACAACCCGCGCATGCGCGGACCTCTGTGTGTGTGTGTATATATATCTATCTATTTGGGGGGAAAAAATCACTCACATTACAGCAAAAGGTAAGAGAAAGGAGTTAACAGGAATTAGGGTTTGCAGTGAGCATGGATTCAGATAGCAACCCATCTCCCATTTCGTCCGTAAGCATTGATGAAGACTTTTCACGCAACTGTTTCAATGGATTTTTCATGCAAAAGGTCATTCTTCTGCTAATGCAATTTTGCATGTATAATTGTTGATTATGTACCAGTAGAGAACATTCAATTGTTTGTTTTCTCAGTTGTTAGCTGAGCTTATAGGCACCTACTTCTTAGTATTTGCCGGTTGCACTGCAGTGGTGGTGAATATGGACATGAACGAAGTGGTGACACTTCCAGGAATAGCACTTGTATTTGGATTGGTTTTGATGGTCTTGATTTACTCTGTTGGCCATGTATCTGGTGCACATTTTAACCCTGCTGTAACCATTGCTTTAGCCTCCTGCGGAAAGTTCCCATTGATGGAGGTTTTTTATTAGTAAAATTAGACTAGTAATTTTCAAAATTATTATTTTCTAACTCGTCCCCTCACGCGTGCTCTAACGTGCACAACTGCGTTTAATCATCTAATTCTTCTACAGGTACCCGGGTATATCTCAGTCCAGATACTTGGATCAATTCTAGCAAGTGCAACAATTCGACTGTTACTCGAAGGGAACCAGGATAAGTTTGCGGGAACACTCCCGACTGGGTCAGATTTGCAGGCTTTCTTGATAGAAATCATAATTACATTCCTCTTCTTGTTCGTCATATCGAGTCTTACCACTGATGATCGAGCTGTAAGTCCTACTTAATTCTCCATGAATGGATTTATCCAATGCTCAATCAAGCAAGTTTTGTTTTTCTAGGTAACAAAACTCATATTGGAAGAATGCACTAGTAGGTCTAGATGTGTCAAAATATATTAGATATGTTAAGGGAAAAAACTCTACATCGAATAAAGATGAAAACGTAGACCAATTTATAAAGGACCGAACTACTCATATTAACAAGGTTGACCTTTCAAGATAGAACTCTATCTTTTAACAAGTTAGTCGTCAAAACATGTCAAGCTGCACTAGATCATTGTGGTCATGAAGATGAAATTTAAGGTGATCACTTGCTTTCTTTTTTTATTGTTGATGCAGATTAAACCTCTCGCTGGACTGGCTATTGGAGCTACCCTTACAGTAAATGTCATGGTTGCAGGGTATTGGTTAAATTTTTCATTAATTTTCTTATTCTATGTTAGGTTACTTCTTACTCATCCGGCACAAATCCCTCATGACATGTTGGTAACGCGACATTAATAGTATCGAACAAGTCACTGTTAGCCAAATCTTGCTATTTGGTTGATATAGAGAGAGAGATGCTGAATTTGGGAAATTCAATTGACAGGCCAATTTCAGGGGGATCAGTTAACCCAGCAAGGAGCTTGGGACCAGCAATTGTTTCAAGCCGCTATGAGAGGTTATGGATATATTTATTAGGCCCCATATTAGGTGCCATGGGAGGTGCTTGGGTATACAATCTCATCAGACTCCAAGCAAAGTTCTCGCGAGAAAACGTCACGAATCATTCTCTTTTCTGATAGCATATTTGGCAAAGTCAACTAAAGAAAATTTGTTTTATATATATTATCTAATGTGTCTCGGACTGCCTGCCAAACATGTACGAGAAGGTCATCCACATAATATCTACTCGATAAGAATTTCACTAGCTTTCCCCCAATGTGACCATTCGATCTTATGTACCTCTTCACTCATGAAAACCTGTGAATGAAAATATAAAATCTGTAACGCCACGCGCTTATTTATTTATTCATTATTTTTTTTGTGATTATCGTATCTATCTAGATTATTTGACTTAATCATAGTATGCACATAATTTTATTTAAGTTTGGAGTTAATTTGATTTAGCCCATTTTTGATCCGGATTAAAATCTAATTTTAATTCAAGTCAAAGTCAAACAATCAATATTAACATCTTTCATGGGGTCCCACAACTTTTCAACTACACAATTCAAAAACTTCTATCACAATCTACGAAAAATCAAATTTTAATCTCCATCAAACACCCTGTTAATGCATTTGTTTAATGTTGTGAATTAATTAGTTTTCATTTTGTATTTTACATAGAACGGACCTATATCATTGTTTTTTTTTACCTATAAGTCAATTTATTAATTGAATTGATAATTAGACATTAAATTAGTAATTTAATAAATTAATGGAAACCAAACGTGATTTGCTACATCTTTTTATACAATTAAAGTAAGTGAATGCCCCGATTGGAATAAATAAATAAATAAATTGACTTTTCTAATTTAGACAAATTAATTTGCAAAATTAAGTTAAACCCCTTTCAGCTATCCAGTGCAGGAGGCACAGGTTTCGAATGAAAATCAATCATACCTCACGTGATCGAAATTTCCCTAAATTGTTTCCCTGCCTTGCATAAAGTCAAGCAGGTGTTCCAAATCCAAAGATCTACCGTTTGTTTGTACGTTTAATAATTCAACTCTGACTTTTGGTGATAAGGTATGAGATTTCTTTTTAATTATATTGTTTGGTTCGTATAATTTTGATGATTTAATTTAGATTAATTCATGTCATGATTGGCCATCCCCATCTTCGGCTGGAATTGTCAAGGAACAGGAAACGTTAAGACATGTTCACATCCTATGATTAAATATATACATAAATTTGTTTATATAGTTACTTCAGTCGTTCAAATCCGAGGGCTCATTAAGATCTAAACTTGATTATGAAAATCACTTAGCATATAGGTTATGTATGTCTATATTGATTTTTTTTGTTTAAATGATCACTTACTAGTAAGCTTCTCATAATAGCCAACACGTGCCAATTGAGATTTTACCATGACCGCTATGTATTATTTAAAACCAATTTTCTTATGTAGTCCTATAGTCTAGGTTATGCATATATTAAGTTGTTGATCATGTTGCTCATGATAGAAAGTAAAGTCGATCTAATAATTAATAAAAATAGTGAATGAGTAAGTCGAAGTTTGTTTTTAATCAATGATGATGAATTAGGAGTTTTGGCATGTTCACTTTGTGGGCGACTAGTGACATCTCCACTTATCATTCTAAAAGTAAATTTATATGGATTTCAAGTAAGTAAACCTCCAATTGTCTTCATATGTATATTACTTTGTTAAATATATGAACGTGTTATCTAAATTGGTATTGTGTGAGATTAATACGAGATCATTATAATTTATGCCATAAATGCTTTTAATGATCATTCATGCATGTCAATTCATCCATAAGCATGTATGAAATTTCGAGAAATAAAGAGTTTTTAAATGTCAATGAGAGAAGGAATGTTTTTAAAAGGATATGTATCCCAAATGTTTGTATTACGAGGTATATGTCTATGCCATGAACGTGTGAGTGAGAAATGGGTGTGGGGGACTGACGCACCCGATCAATGTTTAATAATGAATGTTCAGTGTTAATGTTAACCGCTTTGCGGTACTATCGGTAGATTCGATCGGGTTCCAAATAACACGGCTCACTGCATTTTGATTGACTAGGCAATACACCAAGTAAGCTCACGATGTCTATGTTAAAGTTTTTAAAGAAATGAAAGAAAGGAATACATAATGAGAAATATTTTTATGTTAATGTAATTCATATGCATATCATAAGTATGTATCATATGTATAAGGTTTGCTTATTGAGCGTTAGCTCATTCCACGTTATCCCTCCTCATTTTCAAATGATGAAAGCAAGATGATTCGAGATGATAATTTGTGGTAACAAAGACTCGGTACTATCATATTTAAATGTTGAATTCGTTTTTTGTAATTAAAATGTAATTTAAGTGTCTTATATTTTTATTAAGCACAAATTATTTTCATAAATGAAGTTATTAATATTTATACTCTTTTAGAAAAATCTATCGTTTCCGCATTTATGATTTTAAGAGAAAATTAAATGATAAATACTTCCAAGTCTATGGTATCTAGATTTGTCGGTGTTACAAAATCTGTTTTATATCCATCAATTTGTATATGGAAAAATAAGTCCAATTGGTATTCGAGTCGAGTCCAAGATTTGTACATAATATTTAATATTCATCTTTTATCAATAAAGGAAATTACATATTTTGAAACTTTTCTATTTACTCATAATTTATTCTTTTTATGCTTGGCCAAACATGGTCTAACACAACATTTTTATTTCAGTCCATTTTTCAAAGAAACTATCAGAGTTTGTTGCGCGTCTTCATGATCAATCATTTCATAAAACTTGCTTGATTAAATTAGTGGATAACTTTTTAAAGACTTTTCGAAGGCCAAGTTGAGTATATATATTTATAAGAACATCTTCTATCCAAAGAGCAAAATCTTAAATTGAAGCTTTCAAAGTCAATTTAGATGTCATCCTATGGAAAAGTCGAAGTTGATTTTCCTATGAATCTCCACAAATTGATAGGGTTAGATTTCGTAGCACGTCCATGAGAAATTTTAAGAAATGTACAAAGAACTTTAGATGCAACATTTCGCAACAGAATTTTCTTGTTTTGACATTTTGCATTGGCGAGATTCTATCGCAAAAGAAGTGAAAAATTATGGTATACAACGATTTCCCCTTGTAAATCCATCACAAATTCTATTGTTTTTAAGTTTATTTTACCAAATTATTTTACTTTTAGGCACTATTTCGATGTCTTTTGAGATAGATGATATTACGGTGTTTGAAGATAAAAGAAAACAATAACATAATCAAACAATATAGTTGTATTTTCATCAATTTATTTATTTATTTATTATTATTATTATTTATTAAAAATGCCATTTTGAGCGGATCTATAGAGTGCAGTCTAATGCTTAATGTATAGAAGCACAAAGAGGATGCTCAATATCCTAATTTGCAGCTGTCAAAATTAATTCAGATGTCCTCTGTGGAAGGCTGATTTTGCAACGAATTTCACCATGAAATTTCTAGGATAATACGTAGTATTGTGTCAACGAGAAATTTCAAGAAATGTACGAAGAACTGCAACGGACTTTGATTTTTTAAACATTTTGCTTTGGCAAAATTCTTTGCAATGAAATAAGCAAAAATTTATGGAATTTGCAACATTTTTTCACCTAGACATCAAATATCTATGTTTTAAGTATTACATGATCGACAAATATTATTCTTATGTTAAACTTTCGATGATAAAAGATCGGTACTAATAAACACTACCCTATCCAACCCAGGACCGGCCCGACCCGGCCCAAGGCCACTAAGGCAGTGGCCTTGGACCTCAAATTTTTAGGGGCCACTAAAAAAAAAAAGGGAACAATACATAAATCCTATATATAAGGATTACATTTCAAAAATAACAAATTTCCAATTTTTTTTCAAAAATCAGGTGTTAAATCAATTAATTAAATATTTTCAATTATAATATAATACAATTACC